AATAAAAATGAATTAAGCACCCATTATAGGCACACTGAAAGAAATAATGATACAAAACTTAGGAGATGAGAAGCTAAAAGGCAATGTTTGGAATTTGTTTTATTTATGCTTTCACTCAATCTTATCAAGATTATTATTATCTTATGTTCCAGGCACCGAGTTAGGCATAGAAGAGCACAAATAGTAATGACATTCATATCTGATTTATTGTACTTCACTTTATTGTGCTTTGCAGATATTGAATTTTTTACTGATTGAAGGTTTTTGGCAACCCTGTGTTGAGCAAGTCTGTTGGCACCATTTGCCAACAGCATTATTTTTATTTTAAAAAAATATACCTCATATCCATAATGTGCCAAGTACTCTGCTAAGTACTTTACATGTATTATCTCATCTAGTCATTACAATTACCCTGTGAAATTAGCATTATTAGCATCATCTCTGTCTTATAGATGAAGAAACTGAGGCTTAGAGACTAACTTGCTGTATTGCTCATTGTCACTTAGCTAATAAAGAACCAGTGTTTGAAACCCAGGTCTTGTGTACCAATAGCATTATTTTAAAATTAAGATATGTACATTGTTTTTTCAGGCATAATGTTATTGCACACTTAATAGACTACAGTATAGTGGAAACATAACTTTCATATGCACTGGGAAAACAAAAAATTTGTGTGACTTGCTTTATTGAGGTATTTGCTTTATTTCGGTGGTATGGAAGTGAACCCACAATATCTCCAAGGTATGCCTGTAATGTTTATTGAGCGCTTAATATATGCCAGGCAGTGCGCTAAGTGCTTTACATTTATTTACCTGCCTAATCTCCATAACAACCCCATGAGGTAGGTATTATAATTATCATCATTTTATAAGAGGAAATTGAGGTCTAGAGAGGATCACAGCTGGGAAATTAAACAGTTTGCTCAAATAAAGATGGATGTGACAAGGTTCCTTGGGCTCCAAGAATCTCACGGTATACCAAGGAAGAAGACATTGTTATAAATAGCAGTAACAGCTAATAACATTTATTAAATACTTCTTAAATGCTTTATGTGGATGATCTCATCTAATCCTTATAGTGACTTCATGAGTTAGGTTCTATTATAGTTGACTGTAGTAATGAGGAAACTTGCTTGAGTTAACTAACTTGCCCAACTGGGATTCGAAATCAGGCAGTTGGCTAGAAAGCTCAGATTGGTAACTGCAAAACCACCTGACCTCTCTGATGGGCAAGGCAGACTCCAGGCCAACGAAGCATTGACACAAGGAAGCTCCTTTGAGTAGGGGGATATTTGAGTTGGGTCTGGAAGGACGGGTAGGAGCTTACCTTTTCCCACACCCACTTAGTGTACAGTGTAGTGGAGAGACAGTTGTGGATTTGAAGCTCAGCTCCGCCACTTTCCCAGTTAAATGACTTGTGTTTATCTCCTCCATTCCCAGTTTCCTTGTTAAACGGGACAATGAAAACTATCCATCTGAAACACCACAAGAAGTAAATGTGATTGGATATAGAAACACCCAGCTAGGTGTCTGGCATGTAGCGTGGGAGCTCAATGGTTGAGATTATGGACAAATGGGTTCATGCCAACAGCTAGTCTTTGTAGAGCACCCACAACGTGCCAGGCACCATTCCAAGCACTTAACGTGGATTTACTTATCAATGATCCTATTACTTATTAATGATCATAACTATTTTTAGGTACTATTTTTAGGGCCATTTTACAGAGGAGAAAGGGTAGCATAGTGAGGTTAAATAAGTTATTCTGAGCTAGTAAATGACAGCGGCAGAACTGGAACTCAGGGAGTCTGGCCCAGCGTCCATGTACAGAGAACTTCATTCTCCTGCCTAAGTTGCAGAAAGCAGGGCTGAGGCAGTCAGCCAGCAGCACCACAGAATTACAAGTGAGAGGACAGAAGTGCATCATCAGGGGAGGCTTTCTGGAGGTGCCATTTTGTCCTTTGCAAAACTTGATTTCTTGTGAAGTGGCAATCATAAACAAACACAAAACACCTGACTTCTCAGACAGGGCGAGCAAGACCCTCCAAAGGGGATGTCATGGGTACAGGAAACCATAGCTTAAACACAGCACATTCACCCATTCTGTGAGTTTTTACTGTGTACCATGAGCTGTTCTATGAGCTGGAAGCATTAGCCATAAACAAAATCAAGCAAAAATCCCTGTCCTCGTGGAGTTTACGTTCCAGTTTGGGGAGACAGACAATATGCAAATAAAGAAATAAAATAGATGTCAGAGGGTGATAAGTGTAACAGAGTGAAAAAACAAAGTGGATAGAATGAGCTCCAACTGCTTGCAATGTTGAGTAAGGAAGGTATTGGGGGAGAATTCTCAGAGAAGGTGGGATTTGAGTGAAAACCTGAAGGAGGCAAGGGAATGGGAACTGCAGGAATTCTAGGGGAAGAATATTCTACAGACAGAGACAAGCAAGTGCAAAGACCCTGAGGCAAGAGTGCATATGGCACATTCAAGGAATAGCAAGGAGGCAGGTGTGGCTAGGGTGGGGAGCAAAGGGGAGAGAAGTAAGAGATGAGGTCAGAAGAGGGTGGGGGTGGAGGAGGAAGAACATATCTCCATCAGTCTTCAAGATTTGTGTGTGTGTTATGAAAACAAACATGAATATAGAATGCAAAATATGAAAGCATTTCAAAGCTGGAACATGAGACTAGGATGCCATAAGCTATGGACACTTCCTCACATAAACATCCTGCTTTTCTCTCTCTCTCTCCCTCCCTAGACTGGCTCTGCCCAACCATGGGAGCCGCATGGGGGGTGGAAACTGGGAAACGTAGATATGAGTGACTGTGATCAGGTTTCTAAGCACAGGCTCTGGATCTGAGCCTTGGCGATCACCACCACCTCAAGGCTCTGTGGAGGAGAATGTCACTGGTTTCCTCTCAGTTAAGATTTGAGTCAATAAGACCTAAAACACCCTGGTCTGCTCATCCTTCCAGGCATTGGTCATGTCTAAATTCTTGTGCTGTGAGGCCAGGATAGAACTGTCAACAGTCACTCACCACAGGTAATATTCACTGATTTAAACTGAATTTGTAAACCTCTGAAAACAAGACTGCCTTGAAATAATCTTTTGCCTCAGGGCCAGTTTGGGGCCGTCTTTGAGGTTCCATTTGATCATTTTAGACTTGGATCTGTTTTAAGTTGGATCACTATTTTGTTTCCTTTTCAGGCAGGGAAAGGCTGGAAGGGAACTTTGGTTCCATTTCCCAATTCTGTGAAAAACTAACACTAGGTTTAGTTCAGAGTCCAGCCAGACACTTCAGTTTGGCTTTGGTTCAAGTCCCTACCTGGGGGACAGCCTCTTGGAGTTTACTTCTCTTCACCAAACAAGCTGGTCTTGGGAAGAGCTGAATATGATGCCATCCTAGCCTCCAGGGGTGGAAGGCACAGCACAAGGCCCAATGAAATGATAAAAGCCATCACTGAGCAGGATGAGTGGTAAGGCTAGGACCAGTAACAGCCCCACCTCCATCTCGAGAATGAAACTGAGGCTTAAGGGTTTCAGGATCCTGGAGTTTCAGGACTTACTCTGACTCCAGAGCATGTGCTCCTAGCCTCTGGGGCATGTACTTTTTTTTTTTTTTTTAAAAAAAAAACAGAGTCCTTGCAAGAATATTTGAGCAACTTGCTATGGCTGGGAGAGGAAGAAGCTGCTGGTTTCACTGTATTTTCATGCATACATTCAATTTGTCCGAACATTCTGTCATGTGCTATGTACTGAGGATGTGGAGAGACGAATTCATGTCTGGCCCTCTCCGGACTCAGCATTCACCTTAACCTGGGAAGTGAGGAGGAGTAGCTGAGTCATGTACTACCAAAAGTCAGAAGAGGGAACAAGTAACTGTTGCCAGGGGGTGATATTTGCCCCAGGCATCCAACAGGGGCAAATCCAGACCACGTGCTTACCTCCTGCTTCGTTCAAAGTATCCCAGCCTCTGTCCTCAGGGGCTTAAAACCCAGCACAGATTTTCAGTTTGAGGACCACGTACAGCAAAAATGTCCCGGTGCTTGTTAAAATGTGAATTTCTCCCTACCTGACAGGAGGAGAATCCGGGATTTGGGTAAAGCAGGTATGGGTGTAGCACCCAGGTGGTTCTGACGCACACTCAAGTTTACCAGATGAACGGGGAAAGAAATCACTCTAGGAAAGGGGAACCGCATGCACAACGGCTTGGGAATCCTTCGTAGCCCTCAGGCACTGGGGCTGCAGTTCAAGACTGCAGGCTCTTGGAGGAGACGGATCCCGTCCGTGCTGTTTATCACTGGCTGCCTGGAGCACACTAGGCTTTCACAAATATTTAATACGCTGGCTCCCAAGACAGAACTGCCGGGAAGAGTCAAAGGGAAAAACGAAGTCAGACGAGAGGAAAAAAAAAGGTGTTTCTAAGGGGATGAAAACTTTCCGAAAAGGGAAAAGAGAGCTCCGCCTAACAAGAGGGAGTTGGGGAGGCGACCGCTGCGGGAAAGGGCGATGAGTCCTCGGGGCTGCAGCTGGGGAGAAGGCAGGAGGCGCCTTCTTGCCTCCCCCGGCCGGCCGAAGGCTGAGGTCACCTGGCCTGGCGCCAGCGGCAGCTGGGAGGACGCGCCGGCGCTTCGGCGGGAGGCGGTGTCAGGCGCTGGCCCCCGGGGGAGTTTCCCTTCCTCCTGCCCCCACGGGAGGCGTGGCTGGGGGGTCCCGCCCATCGCCTGCTGGAGCCAGGGCTTCGTCGGGTCCCCACAAAGGCCACGCCCCGAGCCTAGGTCAAGCCACCTTAGCTGCCTCCAGGCGCCGAAGCGGTCCTTCCACCTCTCCCGCCCGAGGCCACGCCCTCGAGCCCCGGCCACTCCCTTTCCTCTGGAGAGTCCGGAGACGCCAGGCCTTGGTCCCGCCCCAATACGAAGCCCCGCCCCTAGACGCCCCGCCCCTCGACTTGAAGCGGCTCGGGCTGCCGCCGCCTCAGAGTCGCGCGCGGGCGTGGGGCGTGCTGAGGAGGAGAACCTGGAGGTGTCGAGGCTGGAGGCGAGATAGTCTCCGGGACCGTCCTGGGAGGCGCAGCGAGGCGGGAGTCCGCAGCCAGAACAACCCCAGAGCAGAAGCAGCTGCTGCCGCTGCCGCCGTCCGCGGAGCCCAGCCGAGCTGGCCATGGCGCTGTCAATGCCGCTGAACGGGTTGAAGGAGGAGGACAAAGAGCCCATCATCGAGCTTTTCGTCAAGGTGAGCGCTCGCCGCCGTCGGGCCCCGCGGAGCCCCGGGAGCCCGTCGGGCCGCAGGGGGCGGCGTCCCTGGGCGCTCGTCAGCCCCGGCACCCCCGCAGCGCCCCCGCGCGGCGCCCGCACCCGGGAGGGAGGGAAGCGCTGCTCCCGCGCCCCCAGCTCATTGTCTTGGGCCCACCCGCGCCTTCCCGCCACCGAGGCCGGTCGAGGGGGCCGGGGTAGGACCAAGACCCCAGAAAGCCAGCAATGCGGGGCGAGGGCACCGCCTCCAGCCGCGCGGGCTCCGCGGACGCCACACGGTCGTCCCGCGTCTGGGTGGGACCGGCTGCCCACCCCGCCCAGGCCCCGGAGGCCACGAGCCGCCAGGACCAGGGCGGGGGTGAGTCCTGTCACCCGCCTCCCACCACCACCGCCCGGGCGCTCGAACCCCGACCCCACCGCACCCCACTCCTCTGCTCTCCGAGCCCACCCCCGGCCCGGGAGGCGAAGCCTCGAGCCAGTCTTCAGTTGATGAACTGAACTTCTTTGAACGGTCTCGGAAAGAGCATTTCACTCCCGGCTGTTAGGAAACTGTAACTTTAATGTTCGGTTCCATCAGAAAAGTATTTATAAAAAGAGCAGACCTTCCAGGGCCTCCAGAAAAGACCGAGATTCCCACCTTGGATTTTCCTGTCTTAGATACTTTACCACCATCTGGTTTTTTTGTTTCTCAAGCGCTGAGTGTTTTGTATGATGCAACATTTTGGCTGCTCCCCTTCGTGTTGCTGCCTCTGGGAAGAGTGTGTGTGCCCTTTGTTTTGAAAGAAAAACTGACGAGGGAAAAGAATTCCTAACTTGCTTGGCTTTAAAAGGGTTGATTTTCCTTTCTGATCTCTTCAGTTTTTATATCTTGGAACTGTCATGTTTGCTGACAAGTACTATCCCTAACCCTTATCTTTTTTATTTAAAAATTTTCATGTGAGCAAAGGAGAGAGTAGAAGTTATGAACATCTGGATCCAACTGGCTTCCTCAAAACTTCCTTAAAATCCTTGAGATTTCCTTTCTTAGTCATTTACTTAAGCAGGCTTATTCAGAACTAGGCGGTGAATTGGAAAGAACAGAATTCCATAACAATTTTGTTCTTTTTTTCCTGAGTTTTCAAAGAACAGAAGACATTGAAGGGTGTGTCTGAGACATGAAAAGAAGAAATAAATGATCTGCAAGTGATGGAAACAATGTTTTAGGATTTTCTTTAAATTATCAGACTTCCCTAATTAATACACACAGATCACCAGTTAATCCCCTCAGCAATGCTATAAAATTGTTAACGATTATCATCCTGGTATTAGAGCTCAAGAAACTGAGGTAGCTTAAGAAACTGTGTGTCAGGCACGTTTCTTAAGTTCTCAGTACCTCAGTTTTAGAAACATTTTGGTTCAGGAAACTGAAACAGCAGACAGGTATAGAACCTCCAGGATATCTTCAATCTCAATTACTTTGAGTGACAGATAGAGGACTTTGAGATGCAGAGAATGTAGGAAGGAACCTGAAATAAGAGAAAGGAAGAGGCATGCAAGGTAGCATGAAGAAGGGAGAAGGGTGGGTTAGAGATCAGTTGTTCAAATAATTTCACTGGAGCCAGGAATAGGAAGGAATTTTCATAAATTCAAAAATAGTGTATCTACTAAAACTTAAAAAATGTTACTTAATGGTGAAACTTTAGAAGTATCATTAAATTTAGTGTCAGATACGGGTACCAGAGTAATGGTTTCTCTTCAGCATTGTACTGGAGGTCTAGCCAATACAATAAGACAAGAAAAAGAAATGAAGTACATGAATTAGAGAGGAACAGATCAATGCTTAATGCTCTGCTATTAATTTAACTCTTCAGTTAGAAGGAGTGGGGTGTGGTTCATTGTTTCCCAAACTTGAGTCACTTGCATACCCCTTCTCTGTTTTCTATACATGTGTTGTATTGGTATCTTAATATATTTTTTTAATTTTAATTTCACTTTACTAGTTTTATTTATTGTTTAATTTTTTTTGTTTCTCAGGAGTGGGGGGAGGTGATTAGGTTTATTTATTTATTTTTTTAGTGGTGGTACTGCGGATTGAGCCCAGGACCTCACGCATGCTAGGCACGCACTCTACCACTAAGCTATACCTTCCCCCCCTTGGATTGGTATTACTATTATTTACTAAATTCAACCCATTTAAAAAAAAATAAACACATCACTCTAAGCAATAATAGCCGTGAAACTGTGGATGAGGTATGGTGACTATATTTCTTATGTGCGTAACTATTAAGAAATGTTTGTGAACCACCTAAAGGCATCCTGTTTACAGCTAGTTGTAAGCCTTTGTCACTCGGCTTGGTGACAGAGAACCTGGTTCAAGTCACAGTTCTGTACTCACTGGGTCGTTTACCCTGGGCAAGTTCTTTTCTCTCTCTGAGACTTGTTTTCCTTCTTTGTGAAGTAAGAGATGAAATCTTTTCTGCTGCCCTGTGGTTCAGCATAGGCAAAACTTTATAGTGATATAAATCAGGATGGCTGTTTCAAAGGGGAATAAGGGGGGCAAGTAAATTGTGGTAAAGAGTATTCCTTTTTGTTTGTTTAATGAGGGGGAGGTTGTTAGGTTTGTTTGGAGGAGGTACTGGGGATTGAACCCATGACCTCGTGCATGCTAAGCATGTGCTCTACCACTTGAACTATACCCTCCCCCGAAGTAAAGAGTATTCTTGATTTCCAAAAACTATGTGTGGGAAATGCAAATGGGGAAAAATACCCTTGTGAATATAATTATTTTGAAAGCAGTGAAGGGGCAGAGGCTGTGGTTGTCCAGTGTGGTGTATTAAATACTGTTAATTATTCTGCCAAGAGGTAACTGAGTTTGTAGCAGAAAACTATTACCTACACTTAAAGGACATGAATGTAAATGTGCTACCTGTTTAGGTGGCATGAAATATAAGAGAAATAGGCTAGGACCTTCCCAACGAGTGTGACTGGACTCGTAGCTCATAGCTGCTTTTCCTTCCTTGCGAGTATTGTTTTTGGAGTCATCTGCCCATGAGCCCAGAGACTCCTCATCACCTGTATAGCAGCAGTTCTCCATTTTTGTTTACCTCAACATCTACTGGATAGGGCACCCTCCCAATAGTAAAAGAGGCTTACAAAGGCAGTCACCGTCCAGAGTGAGGGTGCCCTATTCCCCCACCCCGTGGGGCCTGGTAGGTGGTATATATTTTGATACACCAGCCCAACTTGGGGACCACCATTAAATAGGGTAAAGTTCAAACCTTTTAACAAGGTTATAAGGTCTCTTATCTGCTGCCTTGGTTTCTAATCCAATTTGTCCACTTACTGATTGTGTGTCCCAAGACATATTACTTAAACCTTTCTGTGCCTCATCTGCATAGATGAGATTTTAATAGGCCAACTTCATGGGATTAAGTTAGTTAATACATGTGGTGTGTAATAAGCTTAGAACAGTGTCTAGTACACAGTAAGTAAATGCTAGTTGTGTGTCATTTTATATGTACGTATTTGTACGTGCATCTCCCCTACTAGATAGGCAGGAAGTTCCTTGAGGGTAAGATCTGTATATTGTTCTGAGTGTCTGGAACATAAGAGGGTACCAAATAGTTGAAATGAGATTGGTTCCTTCTTTGTGAGCATTTTAGTGTCATTATATGTGGAACTGGGAGCTACTTACTTAGATCCTGATGGTCTTGAGTCTCAAACCTTGGTTCTTCATTTGTTCAACTTTGCCTAGCCTCCTGCCTCCAGAACTCCATGTGGTTTTATCTATCTTTTTTTCCTCTCCATTATTTGGTACCTCTAGTCTTTTCATATATATCTATCATAATTTCCACAAATATTTCTTTGGAAATCAAGATTTCTGTATTGGCTAAAAGTAAATATTAAGTGTTGAGTGACAAAATGAGAGAAGTTGAGAAGAGACTGAATTTTTGGACTTTTCTTTTGCTTGTATAAGCCTAACTCTTACTGATGATACTGCCTCCCCACCCTCCACTAGAATCTTTGGTATGATGTGATGGTATTTCTGATCTTGGTTTAGGAGGAGTTCCTTTGCCGAGTTTAGTTTTATTGGCTGGAATTTAAAGTTGTGCCATTTTGAATTGGGACTCTCACTGTTGATAGTTGTCATTAAACTGCTGGAGTTGGAATGGTATAAAAAGTTAATCTGATACAGAGTGGTTTAACACATAAGAATAACTGTTTCTTTTGAGATATTTGGCGGAGTTTCTAATGTGCATGGACCCTGGAGCCAGGCTGCTTGGCTTGAATCTGGCTTCCAGTTGTGTGTCAGGCACGTTTCTTAAGTTCTCAGTACCTCAGTTTCTTGAGCTCTAATACCAGGATAATAATCGTAACAATTTTATAGCATTGCTGAGGGGATTAACTGGTAATCTGTGTGTATTAATTAGGGAAGTCTAAGCTTCTGTAGTAAATAATCTGCCCCAAACAATGGTTCAAACAAGATGGAAGTTTATTTCCTTTCTCACCTAGCAATCCAGGGAGGGTGTTCTCGATGTTGGTGACTTTCCTCCTTAGAGTCATTTATGGACCATGGCTCTTTCTACCTTGTTTTTCCGTCATCCCCCAGAGTATTGTCCTCCTCTGAGTTGGCAAAGCTGGTGGCTAAGAAGTCCTGGTTGCAGCAATGGGAGATGAAGAGTATGGAGGAGGATTATCTCTCTTAAGGGCCGCTGCCCAGAAGTTCTACCTGTCACTTCCTTTCATATTCTGCTGGGGGGAACTTAATAATCATCTTGTTTAATTTAATCGCAAGGAGTGCTGGCAAATGTGATCTAGCCATATACCACCCTAAGTGAAGCATTAGGAATAGTGCTTGGCACACAGGCACCTATTTTTATTGTTGATGATAGTGTATTCTTAAATGTGGACTTCATTAATAGGATTCAGGGGATCCTGTAAATCCTTCATGAAGAATTATGTTAAAAATCTATATGAGTTTTTTTCCCCCCCTGGGGATTC